CCCCCAGGCCACGTGCTGCTCTGACAGGCAGCACTGCTGCCCCTCCAACCTGCCCGTCTGCGACACCCAGACCAGCCGATGCCTGCCCCCCACCGGCTCCAACGCGGCGCCGGTCCCGTGGGCCACGAAGACGCCCGCGCGCCGCAGGGCGCCGCCGGCGTCCGGCTCCGGGTTCAGCCGCAAGGGCGGGCCTGGGGCCAAGCTTATCATGCCGGAGGGCGGCTGGCCGCTGGTGTCGTGAGCGCGGCCCCGGGCCGGAAACACAGTCCTCCCTGCGTCGGGCGGTGGACTGGCTTGTGCGCTGGCGCGGGCACGGCGGCGTGGGCTGTGCAGTTGGTTGTTGGTGTTGTGGATCGTGCACAGGTGCTTCAGTCGGCTTCTTTTGAGGGGATTGGTGCCATGCCCACCCGCTTGCATGGGGGCATGGGACGGCCATGCAAGCAATTGCGCTTGGGGTGGGGGGGCTATGGGGGTGCCTAGCTAGCAGAGCAAGGGGTGTTGCACACCTACTGGTGTAACTCGAGTGCCGGCCAGTGTCCTTTGTGGACGGGCTGTCGGTCGGGGTGGCAGCCGCACCACCAGCGCGTGCGAAGCGATGCCATCAGCTGCGCGCGCAGCATCGCGCGGCGGCAGCCCGAATAGGGGGACGCCAGCGGGTGTTGTTATGTGGGGGAGATGCGTCGCATTGATACAGGTTGCGGGCTGGCTTTGGCCGGCGCCGCTGGCTGTGATGAGTGGCTGCGACGCACCATGGGGCGAGCGCCATCGGGCGCGCGCCATTGCCGGGGTCAAAGGCGCCAGCCAGCTGCGCCGCGGCTGCCCGCCATCGGGCGCAGCGTTGGTGGAGATGCGGGTGCTGCTCCATGCTGCGTGGCCTCCTGCAGCCCTATGGCTTCGGTTGTTATTCCTGGGGTTGAGCTCGCTACGCCACGGAGCTCACAGGTCTGCCTGGCATTGCGCTCTCCGCAACACGAGGCCCTGGGCACTGGCCGTGCGCCACGTGGAAGCTGCCGAATCGAGTGCAATCGGGTCACTGCCATCGGCTGGGGTCGCCGTACAAGACCACAGCGCCTTCGCCCAACAGCGCGATTAAACATTATCAATCCATTTGTGACGTCCATTTGTTTCGTTGAAAGATCAAGTGCTGCATTTGATTTCTCAAATTTATTTCGCAACATCGCGACTTTGGTGACAAGGTCTTGAGCCTACGCGTCGAAATGGTGGAGGATTCTAGCGTTCATGTTGATGCCCATACGCGGGCATCAGGCGAGGGCGGCGCCCCAACGCCTGGAGGCTTTGAAGTGAGCAGGGGCTACTGCAGCCCATTGGCAGTGACCCGCGGATTTTGGAGAGCTGGCTGCGCGGGAGCAGCCAACCACATGCGCCAGTTGTGGGCAGAACGAATACGTGCACGGCGTTGAAGTTGCGCAATCCCCAGCCGCCATCCGTCCCAGTCAACCGCCAGCGTCGCCGCCCGATGGCGGACGTCGCCACGCTGCTCTGACCTCCTCTCACCATCTCCCCCCACACACACCCATCATCCAAGGCCGCGGGCATCCACCACTGGGCCGAGCTGCGCGCCGCTGCGGCCGCCGGCGACGCCGCCGAGCTGGCGCAGCTGCTGGGGGACCCAGAGGCCGCCGCCCCCTTACTCGCCGCCGCCGACCCCGCGACCGGCCGCACCGCCCTGCATTTAGCGGCCGCCGCCGGCCACGCAGCCGCGGTGACGCTCCTGCTGCGGCGCGGCGCGGACCCGAACGCGCGCGACGGCACCCCCGCGCGTGCGCCGCCGCTGCACGGGGCCGCCGCGGGCGGCCACGCAGAGGCGGTAGAGGCGCTGCTCGCAGGCGGCGCGCGCATCGACACGGAAGACGCCGACGGGCAGCAGGCCGCGCACGCCGCCTGCTGTAGCGTGCCGGTGCTGCGGGTACTGCTGCTGCGCGGCGCCCTCGCGGACGCGCGGGGATCAGCCGACAGGCGCACGCCGCTCATGCGGGCAGCAGAGGAGGGCTGCGAAGACGCGGTGGCGTACCTAATCGACGAAGCGGGGGCCGACGTGCACGCGCAAGACGAGGGCGGCATGGGCGCGTGCCACCACGCCGCGGCCGGCGGTCATGCGGGCGTCTTGCGCCTCCTCCTCGCGCGCGGCGCCGACCGCGACGCCGCCGACGCCGCCGGCC